GGAAACATACTGCCGTTTGTTATGGGTAGATTCAAAGAATCCCGCTTTTTCATTATATGTTTTTTATTTGAAATGTCTTGATTAAGGTTGCATGTATATGAAATCTACAATCTAATTGGTAGCTCCACAGCATGGATTACACCATGGATGTATTAAGAGAACTGGATTCAGTGTTTGAGGCGGGAACCGTTCCTATGAAAGTTGCTTGAGAATAATAATACCCGGACCTGGGCCTAAAGCATTGCCTTTTCCTTAAGCCCCGCCTCCAATCTGCTCGGTCACGACCGGTCTCGGCACTATCAAATGAATAGAGAGGTAAAATAACTGGACAACTGGATTTGGCTTTCAGGGCATTTTATAACTCTTAGATCCTAATGATTTATTTAAGGACTTTCTAAGAGTTTGTTAAATAAAAAAATAAATATGCTGATCTACAGACGTCTCCTTCCATTGGAAGTAAATGTGAAGACGTCTTTTGGGGCATAACGACACAGCGTCTGGTCACTGCAACAATGTGAACGACCGGTTCACTTACTGGGGGGTCTGCTTTACACACTTTGGAAATGGCATATGGTGAGATCTCAGATTTAGCGTAGAGCTGTTGAGGCATGGACCAGTGATGTACAAGTGAAGATTGGATGACGATTGGACCGTGTCGATTGGACTTACAGCCACATCGTGTTTCATGGCGAGTGGTCTGTGCGAGCAATGTGTTGCCATGGCAACGGCATTTGAAGAAATCTCAAAACTTTCCCGTAGATGTCTTCACGACTGGACTGTTAGCACACTGCTATCTGAAGTCTGCTGCTCTGAGCATGTCAGTTGGAGTGATGACATCATCGTGTTCCATGACACAGGTGTTTATATTTGAGCTAACGAGGTGTGCAGAGATCAAAGGTTTCCATTGTTCTGAATGAGAGATGAACCTCTTACATGTGAACGTTTTGTGGAAGAACCGTAACAGATATCTGTGAAATTTCAAAACGTGAAGCATGTCAAGGAAGTTGAGCATCTGAAGTGTAATTTTTGTGTAGTTTTGGGTTAATAATGTGGCCTTTTTGGCAGTTTAACTAAAGGTGCGCGGCTGCTACCGTGAGGAAATATCTTCCTGAAATTACAATGGGCTTTAATGGAGGAATGTTGAACGTTCTTGTCACTTCATGCCCTCAAGAGGCATTTTGTTTAATTATTTGTCATTTTTCAAGCTACGAGATGTTTTCCTACGTTTATCATGAAAAACTATGTCTCAGGAATGTAGGGTTTGGGAATTATGGCAGTTTTAAAAAAATATATGAAGGCACATTTCAAGATTTCTTACCCTCTAGCTGTGACATCACGCACTCTAGTTAATGTTAAAATCTGAAGAAAACCTCTAAAACAAGGTCTGAACAATGTTTAATATCTCTAAAAGTAAGAATCAGATTTAAAGGTTGTTTTACACGAATAATGTCAGAAAGATGTGTAACATTTTAAAGTTGGAATGAGGTTTCTGAGTGAAAGTATGAACGAACAGTTAGCAGTTGAAGTCGCATGAAGATTTGTTGAAGTCTGAAGATTTCCTCCATTGACTTCAATGTTAAAAATGTGATGTATTATGGGATGTATCTCTGGAATTATGAAATGTATGAATGAGAAAAGTAATAGCCATCGATTCCCCACCGAGCTGAACGTTTTGATGTTTGAACGGAGTTTCTGCGATGTTCAATGCGGGAGGAGAAGAGGGCCAAAATAAGTCGGCGGAATAATAATAAAAATGTTGTGCGTAGAAGAACAGTTAGTTAACAGCATTCCCACTCAAATATGACCGAATCTGATTTAATATCATTAGTTGTTTTGTTACCCTAATGAATCAATGCCTTAAATCTCAAACTCTGCAAATGCAAAAAACTTAAAAACATGTGTTGCTATTGTCGGCAATACATTTGAAGTTATTTGAGAAGCATTAAAAGTATTATAACTAACATGATGGATATGTGTGCCATAGGTACGCATTTTTCCACGATCCAGGAGCACTTTGAAAGGGTTAAAGTGACAATGATAGATCAACATTCAGCTATGAATTTCATTTCCGGCTAAAAACAACCCTTTTCAGAGCAGGGCCACTCAGCCCGCAGTACATGGCGGAGGTGGGAATTCGTGCTTCTTTGTTTTTGTTTTGGCATGCCTGGCTGGCCAGTAAGTCCGTAAGCCAGCCAGCCAGTCAGAGTTGGGTGAGCAGGTGAAAGACAGAAGAACATGAAAACACAGATAATCCCCCAGCGATCCTCACCTCCTCCTGGCCCCCATCGCCGCCCCCCCCCCTGCCCACTCACCTGCTGTGTGCCACTGTGCTGCCCCCAAACACCTCTCCTCTCTCTCCCCTTTACCCTTCAACCCCCTCTTTCCTCCTCCATCTCTATCTATCTCGCCTCCATCCCTCTCTTCTCCATCTTCCCCCCAATGCCAGGTCTTGCCAAGCTGTCAGTGGGGCAAGGTGCGGAGGGGAGATAGCAACATGCGTGTACACACTCAGATGCATCAGTACACATACACAAAACACATGGGGCTTATGCAAGCTAGACGACAAGGGCTGTGTTACCTTTACTGCACACACACTCACTCACACACACACACACACCGAGTGGTGGTCGTCCGCCTCAGCTTTGCTTCGCTTGGCTGCCTGACTAAAGCTAAGCTCTCGTTATCCAGGCTGCCTGAGTGACACACACACAGACACACACAAGGCGTGCGTGTCCATGATGCAAACCCAAATACAAGAATCTAGATGTTGCAAGTATAAACACGCACATAAAAACACACACTAACAGTGCGATGGCAGAGCAGCAGAGGACAGATTCACTGGTCCACAGCAGCTGATGTGTTCACTGACATCGAGCATCGACCGCGCTACAGAAGAGGGCAATAACACCAAATTCAACCACATCTTAGGCCTAATGATAAAGTGCGACTTAAACTACATACAATACCACTGTTAAATCATGGTTAAAAACTTAATTGATTGATTAGGACTGTCATTTATGAAATAGTCACCAGTTATATCATTATTAAAGTGCCTATTCTTCCTAATTTCTACAGATTCAACTGGATTGTCATTTTTATTTTACGACATCATTGGCCTTTAATTACTTCAGCAATGCATTTATTTTTTCTTTGCCCAGATACAAACAGAAATGAGAAATACAGACAAAGTACCAATAAACAACGGGATAGAAATCTTTATAGTCCTATTGGTTAAATAAGTGATCGATAGACATGCCAACTCAAAATAGTTGTCATATGTCATTATAAGGCCATTTGTGTGCATCCATCAACATTTGTATTTATTTTTCTATTTGAATGCTAGTTGTGGTGATGGTAACAGATGTTGTCAGATAGTCAGATTCTAACCCAAAAACACACAGAACATTTATGCGTCAATCTTTTCTCCATAATACTTGCGGCTCTAATTTGGAGTACTAACTTCTAGTGCACAGCAAATGTCCACATACAGTGTGTATCTAAAGCATCAATAATTGTTAATCACTACATATGTTCAAATGTGTGTTATAAGATATATCAACAACAATTAACCAGCTTTACAGTACATTCCTGAGGAGGCTGTGGAATCCATAAACTACCGCATCACTCTCAATCACAACCCCTTTCTGTGGGTTGAAGTAAACAACACTGATTGGTTTTCCTGAACAAGTAGCCCAAAATAATAGATATTACAAACATAAACGTATCTAAAAAAAGAACACAATCACACACACTTCCAAAACAGGCTTAACTTCAGAACCTGAAACCCTACAATGGAGCCGTTAGTCAAACTTAACACCCAGTCTGAACCACTTTCAAAAAATCAGTTTGCTTCCGAGATATAGTCACAGAAAGGGAAAGCCTATATGGCGGAGGAAACGGGGGAGGGGGGGCAACCACATGGTCAGCCCGTCCCGTTGCCCATCTGGGTCCCATAAAGGAGACATGGAGGCCAAGGCCACCACATGCCCTCATGCAAGATGCCCACTCACCCATGCACTGCAATGAATACTATTAAATGGTAATGGGGGAATTTGAGGCTTCCTTGTGAAAAAAAGTAATAGAACCGCTTTTTAGAATGTGGATGTTATACCAATAAAGTTGCCTTTCAGTGAACTTTACGAAAAACAATATTTGAAATCCAGTTAGTCTACATTATGTGCCCAACCATGGAGGACATTTTTTAAGTGTGAAGGGAGGCCTGAAAAGCTGGGGGGAAATGAAAATATTCACAGCAATATTGTAAAAATAAATAAATTAACGTCAAGCAATGCAACGCAATTCCATTAAAGTGTGGATCATATTAAATCAATGATTTATTGACAATTGATGTCTATATTTGTGTGAAATAAACTGAGACATCGGATATGGGGGCTAAGTGATTTGATTTGGGGTCAACCAGCCAAACACCACAACAATGCAGCAGTGGGCTGTTAAAAGCAAGTGCAACATATCCCAACATGGGAATAATCCAGATTACATGGACTCCTTAACAAAGTGAATTACAGGTTGACCGAAAAGCACAACCCACGCTGTCAGAAACGAGACACCAGTGTATCATATTTCATGTTCTGACAGTATGGCAGCTAATTGAAAACAATTAACCCAGTGGACTGGCAGACAGAGAAAACAATCCGGAGATGTTTGAAATGTATATAAAATGTGATGCTACATTTCGAAACTGTTACCAGGCTACACAGTCAACTATTACGCTCCCTTACAAAACATGTTACCAATGTCGTTACCAATAATAAACAATTACTGAACATGCTAAATATGAGCTAACACACACACTATAAATGTAAGACATTAACCTCTGTGTGAAACCACAGAAAGAATGCTTGCAGCCCTTGGGGATAATTAAATTAGCTAACAAACACCAGAGTTGGGCATGAAATCTTGGTCATAGCTTAGCTCCTTATTTTACTCCTGAGTGAAGTAGGCTATCCTTTCACATGAGGAACAAAAACACAGTTTCTTACCTTTAACGGAGCGCGGCTTGGCCTGTTTTCGTCTAGACATCTCTGGTCTTCCTTTTTATAAATTTTATTTTTCTAATTGTTTTGTTTCGCTCCGTGTTTTCTGCTAACTATGCAGGCGGACACGGTCCTCCACCTCTACCACTTCGCTGCTGCTTCTTCTTCGCCTGTTGCAATGCGGCAGCTTCAATCTCTGATTGGGAAACGGCCGTAAATCCAGCGACAACAAACCGCACACACCGGGAGCACAGCGGATTGCAGGCGACTCGGCTCCTCTGCTGCGTATTCTTCCTGAGTGGTCGCGAGGGCTCACGCAACCTGTAGCGTAAACGCGAACAACTTCCCGTCGATAGTCCCTTCTTCTTCGTAACAACGTGCCCGGACGCCGACAATCTCAGTTTCTCTGCTTTCCTGCGCACACAATTAGCTTTCTCCGGTACAGCCCACTCCGACTTCTCGAGCACTACTACCTGTGCGCGAGCAGCCAGCCACAGGCGAGGCGAACACCTGAGCAAGTCCCGCGGAATTAGGGTAAAGTGACAGCGGCACCGTCCGAGAGCGTGCTGGCGGTGCCACAGCGGTACGTGACGGTCCAGGTGAAGCGAGGCGCCCGAGTAGGTTCTGGGAAATTGTCTCAAAAATGAAACGTGCCTTCCGTCTTCGTGCTCCTCGCGGCTTCGTCGTAGCTTTTTATTTAGTTATCGAAACTATTTTAGTCTGTTTTGATTTGGGTTTTCCTCCAGGAAAGCCGTACCGACTCGAACTGACCAGCGTCCTGTGTTCCGTCCCGTTATTCTACACTAGGTAGTGGTGGTCTGGTGGCATGGACATAGCGCTCTTCCCCATCATCTCCACCCCGAGGGGAATACTGCTTTTACAACCCACGCTTTCTTTTGTTAATATTTCCCAATGCCCTATCGGCGATATTAATAGTAGCCTAATATTTCTCCCAGTCTAACCCTTTGCTAGCCTCTGTCTCCCTGCTTTTTCTTTGTCCTGACTCTGGCTACCAGTCTCCCTCCTCCTCCTCTGCCTGCCTCTGCTGGCGGGGCTGCGGCGCAGACACACATAATAAAGCCAAGGCAGGCACTGCTTGGCTGGAAATGTAGCCGCGTCCCAGCAGGGGGATGTGAGAGAAGGGTCCCGGCGGGGGAGCGCTCTGATCCCGCAGGGAGCAGCTCGGCACAGCCCGGGTTGGCTGAAGCAGGAGAGAGGCAGGCTGGGCTGACGGAGAGAGAGGGGAAGTTTGGGGAGAGTTAGGCAACAGCGCCCAGCTGTGGCCGACAGCAGCAACTACAACAGGGACTATGAGAATACAGAGGGAGGAGACAGAGGGAAAATATGGACTTGGAGTAGGATGAGGAAGAGCCCCTAAAGTTAAGACAAAGCATAATAATTAATTTTGATAAACATAATAAGAGTAGCACAAGTAATTGAATTATTATTCACTGACTACTGAGGTAGGCCTACCTATGTTTTAAACAGTGCTCAGTAGTGGAGGATGCTATCAGCTAGCAACCAGTGTCACTAAACGTGTAACCTTTTAAAAGATACAGCAATGACTGTTTATTTGCATGTTAAACAATTATGTAGAAATATTATACCATGGCCCTCTCTGGCTCATGGCTTTACTAGTTAGGTCAACAACAGGCCAATGTAAGCCGTGACAGAAAGTATTTTTTGTTTATAAATCACTCAAAAACAGAATTCCCAAAACAATACAAATGGCAAGGGATGACAACGATGCATGTTATGCGTGGACAAAGGAAACAACTACCACCATAGTGTTGGTTACACTAGAATTAAAAGTTCTCTTTTGATTTTGATCTAATCTTATTTCTCACTATTTACAATATGTTCACAGTTCACATTTTACCTTGTAGATGAACCTTAAAAGCTCTAACCAAAATTCCTTTGGTGGTCACCTGTGATTTATCATTAAAAAATAATGTTCATCGAGCCATCATGCTTCATTACAAAAAAAAAATCATTTTCACATGGCACATTTTCTTTTGCTAGTATCACTCATCTGTACAGCACCTACGAATTATTTTAGATTTACACATTTTTAGTCTCTTCAAAGTTGTTGGTAACATATTGTGAGAGAGCGATGACTTCCAATAAAAAGATAAAAATCCGGACACAAACTTGAATGTAATGTTTTGCAGAGCAGCATGTTTTTGTAAAAATCATTCAATAAAAAGAATGAATGCAGGAGTAGCAATAATAGAGCTTACAGAAAGGCCATGGTAAATTCCCTAAATAAAATGTAATCAAAGGATTTGTGCACACTTTTGGAATGTCAGACATTTTTCATCTTCCTCTTTTCTTGAGTGATTTACGTTTCACTCAATTTGCAGTGGATTAATTTCTATGGGACAGTTCCTGACAGGATTAGTTTAAGCCTATTCATTTAGCCTGAGCAGAACCTATCCGTGCGAAATGAACATTTTCCGCACTTTAGATGGAGACCACATGAAATGTCTGCTTCTATCCACTCGCAGGCTTACAAGAACCTTTGTGTTGCAGTGATGTACCGTCAAATGTAAAAAATCTGCTGAGCCATTTCCTTAAAGGAATAAAAATGCCTCTGTGTCCTCCATTACCCTTTTCTACAGAGCTTTGGAAATGCCCCTTCAAGAAGAAACCCTTTTTTTCAGTTTTCTCATTGGAGGCCACTCTCTGTCACAGGGAAAATAAACCGTTTGACTTACTGTATAAACATAATTCAATTAGCTACACCAGTGTGTGTGTGTGTGTGTGTGTGTGTGTGTGTGTGTGTGTGTGTGTGTGTGTGTGTGTGTGTGTGTGTGTGTGTGTGTGTGTGTGTGTGTGTGTGTGTGTGTGTGTGTGTGTGTGTGTGTGTGTGTGTGTGTGTGTGTGTGTGTGTGTGTGTGTGTGTGTGTGTGTGTGTGTGTGTGTAAAGCTCCTTTATTCCCAGTAAAGAAAAGAGGGACACGTCTGCAGACAATATAAAGCAGACAAAGAGGGGAAAAATGAAAATCACTGGGTGCTTTGTTCTTCACTCTCTGCTCCAACCGAGCGCTCTCTGACCGCAGCTGAGATTTTCCATGTAGCCCCCCCCCCCCCTCTCTGGTTGTCATGGATAACTGGGTAACGTGGAGCTCCCTGTGCTGACCAGCAGGACCACTGCCCTCCACAGATTGAGCCCCCCCTGCTCCACCACCCCACCCCGTCCTCCCATGGATAGACAGAGCAGCCTTTAAGACTGACCCCCTGCCGGGTCAAAGAAGGTGGGGGGCTCTTGTCTCTGTGTCCTCCCCTTGTCCCCCCCCCCCCACCCTCCTCCCTTTATGTCTCCCTCTGCCTCACCCTCCAACCTTCACCTCTCCCTCTCGACGAAATGAGTGCACGCCAGGAGACCCGTTTGTGCATTTCTGTGTGTGTGTGCGTGTGCATAGCTCCCCCAGTGTGACTGCCGCTGGCATGGAGGGGCAAAAGCCCTCACACAGTGGTTGGTCCCCCCTCCACCCCTGTCCCCCCTCCTTGTTTCTGCCGGTAAATACAAAGAGTGGGAAAAAAGCCCACATTACAAGCTCCTTAAGGGTCAAGGACAGGCCCCAGTCTGAATAGCTTCTAAGAGTCGTATTGTTGAATCACATAGCTAGCGATTACACCCTCTGTCATCTCTGCGCGGATTTGGCTTTTTTATACACACAACAAGAGAACATCAAGTAACAGCTACCGAATAAGTTGGCCAACCGACATGCAGTGGGAATTGATACAGGCAGGACTTCAATGGAATAAACCAGAGGCCGATGTAGAATTACAGCCACAAAAATGGGGATTTGGCTTAAAGATTGTATACCTTTACAGCAGTCTGGTGTACAGTGATGTGGAATGCGAGAGCACAGAGATTATGACACAGCAAATGAGGTGCCAAAACTTTTGTGTATTTTCATGATTACAGTCTGGTAATGTAGCTGTGGTGAGATTGTGTCATAGACGTCTCTTTATTCACTTGTGTATATCATATTGTATGTTTGATTAAGTTACTACGCTTAAAATAGAAATATGAAATGCTTGTTTAAACTCGAAGATAACGTACATTTAAAATGGCTAGTTTGTGGGAATTGTATGTCTGTGATTTGTATTACCCGCTGATATCTTGTAACCTTAGGATTCTGTTGAGACTTTAGCGACTCATACTAGTTGTTCAGGATCCTGGCATGATAAGGGGTGTCATAGAGGGACCAGTATGTGTCAACTAAGTGTTTGTCAGATCATAAACCAGCATCTGAAACCCCTTACCCACACATTTTTGGCCAGATTGAATTGAATGGATTGTATTTGACAATTTACTTTCCAAAACCATCAATCCGATAAGCATGCCATCTTGGCACATTGATTGGTCAAGTGTGCAGACTGTCCAGGAAGACTATACATAAAGCTGTTTTTGTTTTCTTCACACTATGAGTCTTGACTTTTCATATGTGCATAATGTGAAAGGAGGCCCCTGAGGATAGAAATTGATGGAAGAAAATGTCAAAGAGTAGATTTTAAGCACACCTCCACCTTTAAAGCTGGGGCAGTATATATTTTAGCGCCATTGGCCAACAATTCCATACGATGAATTCATCATCAGAAAATCCTACAGGAAAACTCTTATTCAAAAACTACCTACATTGCAAAGCAACCCATAAAGAACAATTATATTTGTTGAAGTGTTTCAAAGATGAAGAGAACAATTTTTGCTAATAGTTTAGCCTTCTGCTAACCAGAACCAAAGGCTCAAACTGTTGCTAGCGTACATGGCTGCATCTAGGTTCTATGATTAACAGAAGGTTAAATGATTAGCAACACATTCTCTTGAACTATCTTTGTTGATATTATAGCTAGCTAGGGCCTCCCATGATAATGTGTCATCCAAAATTGCTTGAAATAAAATAAAGTATTTATGCGTAAATATGCTCATGCTAGTCTGCTAGGTGGAACTTAGAATTTGGCTTTAGAATTTGCTAAAAGGATTAAATGTAATTATTTCCCAATCACGCAAAAAGAAACTGCCTAGCCAAGCTTTACTCTCCAACATGGTAAACCCTTATTGCTGACAGGTGAAAAGAAGAGGCTGGCAACACCATCTGTCGCAGAGGTAGCACATCATTTGTTTACAGCCTTCCACAAGCCAGTAGCAGCAATGAGGGATGCTGTGGCCATTGGAATTGGCCATTTAACATTTGGAGTTACCGTACAAGTACTTTATGGCACAATACTTATTGTTTACCCCTAAACATGTATTTTAATGTTTGCATTGATGTACAAAGGGGACATTTACAGAAACAATTTAGAGAGATCAGTTATGAGGGTTTTGAAAAACATGCCTTAAACCAGCTGTGTTGAGAGGATAGTGATCAGTGACAATCAATGAGACCCATTACAAGCGAGTCTGCAGTGTCACACCGCTGAGAACTGACTGCATATCAGTGTTAACCTGCAGAACAGTTGCATGTGTCTCTCCTTTTGTCTTTCCTTTATACACACACATTTTCCCTCGTACCATACTATCCGTCTCTCAGGTATCAAAGCCTGATATTCCTGAGGTGAGGAGGTAACAGTGAATTCTCAATACCCTAACAGAGAGCTCCTGAATATCGGCCCATTGCGGCTTGCCTGCCACTAGCGAATAGAGTTCATGTTATATTTATGTAGCCTAAAGCGCACTCTCTCCCTATCTTCCTTCATAACTCTCCTTCCCTGCCTCTCTCTCTCTCTCTCTCTCTCTCTGAATCCCTGTCTTCTGCTGTGTTGAACTCTCGCCAGCTCCACTAGGTCTCCCCTCTGCAGACAACAGTGTCCCATCTCAATACTTTTGCCCTAGATATCAGCTATTTTTATATGGAATAATTAGACACAAAACTGATTTAAATACTGCAGCCAGATTATTTTGTCTCCACTTAATGCGGCCTGGGTGCACAATGCCAAAGGTGTAAAGTGCATGTGTGTATGTCTGTGTGCATTTACATGGGTGTGTACTAATGTGATTGCTACTTGTTATGCAGTAATAGTTCAGTAGTTGTGCTATGGGTCAAATGTATCTTGATTTTGTGCATTATTCTAAACCCTAAAAAAAAATTGATTTGTGGATGCATATGGGGCACCCACATATCTGTGTGTGTGTGTGTGTGTGTGTGTGTGTGTGTGTGTGTGTGTGTGTGTGTGTGTGTGTGTGTGTGTGTGTGTGTGTGTGTGTGTGTGTG